AGCCCCACATCGGGCTCCCTGCTCTGCAGGAAGCCTGCTTCTCCCTCTCCCGAGTGGAAGAGGGAGAACCCTGCTTGTGTTCCCTCTCTCGCTGTGTCTCTCTCTGTCAAATAAATAAATAAAATCTTAAAAAAAAAAAAAAAGGTCTCCCAGTCCATCTTTCCAGCCTCATTTCACAGTCTACGACCTTCACTCAGCAGCCCTACCTGAGTGTTTAAGCTTCTGAGCCAGTTATGTCTTTGCACATTCTGTTCCTTCTGTCTCTTTAAGATTGAGCTTCTACATCGTCACCCATGGTAAGCTTTGTCTCCCCCAGTCTTGGTTGATTATCCTTCCTCTGTGGGCCCAGAGCCTGCCGTGCCTATCTCTAAAGTAGTGCTTATCTTGCTTTCCTGTTTTTGTTGCTTTATGTTGACTAGAAGCTGTTCGAGGGCAGTTTTTGACTGTTTTTGACCGTTCCATCTCTACTCCCAGCATCTGACCCATAAAGAGCACGCCATAAAGTTCTCTGAATTAATGCATGACCTGTCTCTGTCCCAAATGACATCACATTTTACTCTTTTAGGCGACACCAGGCACTTCAACAGTATTGGTAATGTTTTTCTAAAGCTGGTTAGTGAGTCCAATGACGTTCATTTTATTATTCTTCATCCCTTCTATGTGGACACATATATCCTTTTGTATGTACGAAATATTTTAGTAAAATAATTAAAAAATTTATTTTTGGAAGGACTGGCCCTATGTGCTGGTCTCCGTACTGGACTTCAGGGACCTGAGATGTACAAACACAGAACCTACCCTCAAGCTGCTTAGAGTCGAGAGAAGGAAGACTTGCAAGCAGGCTGTGGTGTATTTTTGCGAAGGGTTGTATGTGGCCCCTCAGGGGGTAAAACTGAGAAAAGTCGAGTAGGAATTCATGGAGGAGGCGTCCCGTGAGTTGTGAAGAAAGCGTGCGCCCAGAGGCCTGCAAAAATGGTGGAGTAGTTGTGTGACACTGGAGTCCAGGGTTCCTTAGGGTCGGATGGGAAATGGAGAGGTAGGTTGGAGTGGGATGGTGGAGACCCTGACTGACATACTAAGTGATTTGCACTTCAGTTCCTGTAGGTCCCAGGCAGCCACTGAGGTTCTGTAAGTGGGGAGTGATGTTTGCATTCGTTCTCTTCCACCAACGACTGACACCCCGGTTCCTATCTGCTGCTACTTGGTCTGACTTTTCCTTTCACACTAGTGCCGGGAGCCCATTCAGATCCAACGGTTTCTGCATGGATGCTGGGAGGCAGGGCAGAAGAAACAATCCATTCCGGAAGGGAAACAAGTAGAAAGGCCAAGTTGCCAAATACCACACAGAGAGTAGATGAGAATAAGTGGGGGTTAATCAGAGAGAGGTAGTGGGGGGTTAATCAGAGAGGAATTATGACCCAACATCCTGGAGGTAATGCTCTGGAGGTGGGAAAGAACACTTATGTTGTATCCCTCAGAAGTGCTCTTAGCCCAGCAGCCGGGGTCGATGGCCTTGTGCAGCTACCCGTGTGGCTCCTAGGGGTGGGGGGTGGTGTGTGTGGCATGGCAGGGGCTGTGCGGTGGGGGCAGGGGCTCTGGGTCCCTGTTTCTGTCTCCCTTCCTCCCCTTTTGCACTAGGGGGGGGCACCCTTCTGGAAGCCAGAATGTCTGGGTTCCAGATTCTTCCTTCCCCAACCTCCCCCAGACATAAATCACAAGTGATTTCATTAAATGCACCTCCTGCTGGGGATGTTGGCTCATAATTCCTCTCTGATTAACCCCCACTACCCCGGCAAGTTTATAGGCCAAGTGAGGGGAGGGGTAAGGGGGAGGGAAAAAGGAGGGATGGGGGGAATCCCAGGCGAGTGATGGATGCCTCTGTCAGCCCAGCTCGTATTTATTAATAGTCTTAATACGGGAAGCAATAAAGGAAGAGAGGGATTCTATTAATTAAATCATTGTTATAATTAACTTTCATTAAAGGAGGATCAATAAAGAGGAGTTGAGATGGAGAGAGGAGAGATCCATTATCTCTAATTTCCTTGGAAGGGATTCAGGGAACGAGATGGGGTTGCTAGGAGACAGCGACGGGAGGGAAGAAGGAAGGATGGAAGATGTCATCCAGGTGGGGCTGGAAGGGGGTGCACTGGGGGGATTTCAGGTGGGTGCAGAGAGGGATTGGTGCAGGTTGCCCGCCCAGAGGCCCTGAAGGGAAAGGAGGGTGGCTGCTAAGGGAGCTACTGGGATGGGGAACAAGGGGGCTGTAGGCACGGCTTGTGCTGGGCATTGCCGAGAGCCTTGGCGAGCACGCAGGTCCTTAATAAATGCTTTACGACGCCGTGTGTGTCTAGCCTGTGAAGCTGGTTAGAGTGGATGAATGTGTTTTTGTGACCGTGGAGTCAGAGGGTGCACACGTGTACGTGAGATGGCAACAGAGGGAGAGAAGGAGGCAGGGATGGAAGGAATATCAAACAGGCTTTAGCGATATGCGGTTTAGGGCATTTTTTACGAAGTGGCTCCTCAAGGGTGTGAACTCCTGACGGGAGTAATGCCCGTCTCTGGCCCATGGTACAGCGACGGCTGCCATGGGGGGGTGAAGGTCTGAGCAGTGGAAACTTCCCTGCCTTCTGAGACATGCACCTGGGCCCAGAACGCTGGTTCCCACCCCAGGACTGAAATCCTGAGCAGGGCCCACGTTGACCCATCAATCTGCTGCCCCCGCTCCCACAACAGCAGTCTTCTCCAAGCCAGACCCCCACCCCCCAACCTGAGACAAAGCTCCCGCCCTCCTCCTCTGCCCACCAGGAGGCACAATGTGGAACGGCTGTGCAGGCACTGGCCCCAACAAGGCAGGGGGGACTCCCCTCCCTCCCCCTCCCTCCCCCTCCCTTCCACTATGGTCTAGGAGCCAGGTATCCGGACCTTCATTGCTCTAGTCACACCTCATGGTAGGAACACATTTTATTAGAATTGTTATACATATCATATAAATATATTTGTTCAAACTACAGATTGAGGGAGGGATAAAGAGGGAAAGCTCTTATTGCTGTGGGGGAACCTGGAGAGGGAGGAAGGGGTGAGAAATGGGGACACCTGGGACCATCTGTTCCCCTCATCCCTCACAGAAGGCACAAATGCATTCTTTCTTTCCATGTGAGGACACTGGGGGAGGGAGGGCAGGGAAGGGCAGGAGATAGAGTACAGAAAACCTCAAAAATACAAAAGAAACCTCCAAACTTCATACCTAATGGCGTGGAAAAGGCTGGGGCAGGGTGCAGAAGGCAATGGGGTGGGGTGGGGGGACAGAAGGAACCACTGAAGCTCAGAACTGAAAGAGACCTGAAGAGGCCATGGTGTCCACGCTGCTGCCTCGATGCAGGCCCCTGAGAAAACTCAGGTAAACCAACACAGACCCCGAATAAGAGGCAGTGGGGTGCCCCAGGAACTGGCTTTGGGGCAGCAGAGAGTGTGTGTAAGTGTGAGTGCGTGCGTGTGTGTGTGTGTGTGTGGGTGGTGTCAGTGACAGAGCAACCAGGGTGAGGAGGGGGTGATCCTATTCCCCCTGGGGAAGGTCTCCTCCAGCCTGGTTCCTCCAAAACCGCTTTTAGCGGGTAAAGTCAGCCCCTGCCTGGACAAAAGAGCCAGGCGGGAGAGGATGAAGGTGAGAGCTTGGGATGAACATGGTTCAGGGAGCGGTTCTTAGGGAACAGAATATCACGGAGCCCAGGGTGGCAGAGAAGGCATGAGACCTAAGTGTACGTCTGTGCATGAGTGTGTGTCTGTGTGTAAGTGTATCTGGGCATGTCCTGGGGCGGGTGAGATCACTCAAAGGTAAAGGGGTCCTGGGTGCTGAAAAAGAAGTGTCCATCCATGTGGTCCTCCAGGGCATCCTTATCACTCTCGGCTGGGAAGCGCTCCTTACAAATGGGGCACTCTTTCCACGGGGGGGTGGCAGGGCCCCCAGTGTTGGCCTCTGACAAGGGACCCACCGCAAAGCCACTGAAGGAGACAGAAGGAAAGGAGAGGGTCAGTGTGCTCCGATGCCCTCTTGCCTTGTGGACCTCAGGGAGAGGGACCCACGCACCCGGGCTCCCAGGTGCCCCTGTTCCTCATGCAGCTCCCTGGTGGCTCTCTCCCCGCACCTCACCCACAGCACCTTTTTCCCCACACTACCAGAGCTTGGTTTCCTGGCTCTCCGTGTCCTCTCTTCTTCAGTGCCTGCTGTAGTGCATGGCCCATCCCCCAACCCCCTGCTCTCCTCCCTCCATCTCCGTCTGCTGCCTAATGAGGCTGAAAATGAGTCTGACATCGTCCTTCATCTTCCTGCTCCAGCTGAGGAGGATGACAGCATCACCCCTCCCTGCCCTGAGCCCATCTCACATGGAGGCAAAGCCGGGGGCTAGATGATAAAATCTCTCTTCCCCCTGCCTTCCCCTCTTGACCTGCGAAAGGAAAGGGAAGGCCGAAGGGGCAATCTGATACTGGAACCCCCGCCCCTGCTGCTGCATCGCCCAAGGGTTTCCCGGCGGAGTCAGGGAAGAGGGTCAGGGAAGGGGGACATCTCAGAGCTGGCCAGATGGACGCTGGATCCCAGTTTTCTCTCTGATCCCATCCCTGGGGGCATCGGTCACCTCCCTTCCTCCCCAGATGGAGCTTGGGTACCTACCTGGTGGTTGGGGAAGGGAAAGGGGCAGGAGAGAGGGGATGCAGGGCAATTTGGGCTCCACGGAAGATGGTGCTAGAACAACACAGAAGCCAGTTAAAGGCAGGGCCTCTGAGTGCACAGTGCACTGATAAGACAGGGCAGGAATTACCTGAAGGCACCTGGGATTCGGAGTGGTGGGTGACTTTCTGTGTCAACCTTACCTGTGTCTCCTTTTCTTGGCCAGGGCCAAGAAGAGGGAGCTTGGGCGAAGGGCATGGGGACCATTCACCCAAATGCCCTTTCCACTGGCATCCTCCCACCTCCCTCCTGGTCTCCCCCTTCTGCGCTCACCTGGCCATGTCATAGAAGGCACTGCCCAGCTCAGGAAGCAGCAGATTGGCCTCCTCACCCCCACTCTGAACAGCCGCCATGAGCACTGACTTCTCATCTTCGGCCTCCTGGGCACCAAAGAGATAGGTAGGGCTGGGTTTTGGGGTAGTGAGTGTCCCAAGACAGGGGAGCAGCCCACTGGAGCAGGTAAGGGAAGAGCAGTCTAGGCCCAGAGAGTAGACAGTGGGCTGCAGTAGGAGTGAGGCAGGACAGGAGTTGTGATGGGGGCTGGTGGGTAAGAAGAGAAGTGTGGGGTGCGGCAGGGGGCGGCAGCAGTGAGGCTATTGGGTTGGGGTGGATTTGGGGGTGTTGTCTGTTGGATGGCCTGGAAGAGAGGCTGGGCCTGCCTCCTCTCCAAGGGAAAAAGAGAGCCCTGTTGGGCTAAGACTTCCTGCTCCAGAGGCTGGGCCACTTGGGTATGGCCCTAGCCACCCCTTCCTCCCCGCACTGCTCACCGAGTCAGAGCTGCTGTCCTCAGCGCACCCTGAGAGCTGGGGGGCAATGGGAGCCGGCTGGCTGATGACCACCAGGGTAGAAGTCTCTCGTGGCCCAGCAGGAGAGGAGCCGGAGTCTCCCCGCTCACACAGGCCATAGGGAGGGCGCCTCATGTCTTCCGGGGACTCATCCTCTGAGTCTGTCAGAGCCGCTGGGCAGCCTGTTGGTGAGAGAGAGGGCAGAGAAGGATGTGTCGTTAGAGGCCTGGCTGGGCTGTCTCCTTTGGATGAGGGATATGGTTAAACTGGACAGGAGGCCAGAGTCTGGCAAGGGAAAAGGCAAGACACAGAAGGTGGAGGCCGCTCCCAGAGGGGTCACATGCAGCTCTCCCCAACAGGGACACAGGGGGGTGGGGAAGTAGTGTCACAAGATTGGTGGTTACAGACTCAGCCCCGCAGCCGCCTCCTCGTCCTCTGTGGCAGCGCCCTCACTCCACTTCTCGTCTGCCACCTTCTCCAGGCGGGCCTCCAGCTTTCTCATGTACTCCAGCAGTTCCTGGCATTGGGAGCAGAGAGGCAGGAGAGGCTGGGAAGATGCCCAGCCCACTGCCCTGCAGAGTCCTCCCTGGCACCCAAGATGAACTCCGAGCTCCTCAGGATCAGGTGCCTTCTCTAACGTGCGGGGCAGCTCAAAGTAAAGCCTCACTCTTCCCCCCCCAGGAGCCCTCCTTCACCCCCTACATCCCCTGCCCCTGCAGTCCTCTCCTGTCCTGTCAAGTCGGCCAATGAGAGGAGCCATGGTCCCATTTTTAGCCTCTGGGCCCTCTTAGAGATAACAGTTTCTAAGCCAAGAGATGGCAAGAAGATACAAAGTTCCCAGCCCTCAAGTCCTCAATTCTGGCATCCAGGGAGCCTGAGTCATAGGTTCTCACCTGCTTCTCCTCCTGCAACTGTTCCTTTTCCTTCTGGAGCACACGCAGGGCTGACCGCAGCTCTGTCAGTTCCCGCTTGCTCTCTGATAGCTGCACCTGAGGGGAATGTGGAGCCTAGAATGTACCTTCAAGAACCCAGGCCCTGCGACCTGGACCCACCACCCTAGAACCATGTCTCTCTGTGCCTTTGTCCTTCTCTTGCCCCGACACACACGGGGGAAGCCCCAACACTCTTCTTCCATGAGTCCCTTGTCTTGATCACAGGAGATAGTCGCCTGAGTCCCAGGCTCTGCTTCTCGAGTGTGGGCCTGGGTGACTGCCTCTGGGCTGGGGTGCAGAGGCCCTGGTGGTAGCAGGGGCACTCCATAATTGTCCTAAGTCATCCCTGAGAGGCCCAGGATATGTGTCTGGAGAACAGAAGGGGACATCGTACGTTTCAAACTGATGAGCTGTGGGACAAGTGCAAGTAAGAGGCCACTCAACATGGAAGTGAGCAGCCAGCACTTCTGAACCCACACCCAAGACGGCAAGAAGGGCACTGCTGCTTCAGGAGGCCCTGGGCCCGGACTCACGGGCGGCTGCACGCCTCACCAGGCTCGAATCCTTTTCCCGGGCCAGTTCAGTCTTGAACACTTGGTTCTGGGTCTTCTCCTCCTGAACTGCCTTTTCCAGTCGAAGTATCTCTGCGCTCAGCTTCAGGATCTTGTCTTTCTCGGCCTGCAACGTGGCCAAAAATGAACATGGGAGGGGAAAGGTGAAGGAAAAGGGATGCCGCTGGCAACAGCTCCATCCCGCACTGTGTCCCTTCCTTTAGTTAAATGAGTATTTGGGGAGCAATTTCCCCTGCTTGGCTTCCTCATTCCCTATACTTCTCACTGAAGGAAGGGACATGCCAGCAAGGTGCCTCGCTGATCAGGAATGGGCATTACAGATGGGGCCCGGTGCCTAGGGCAGGAAATGTTTCTTAATCAAGATGGTAACCAAGGAAGGTGCTACAAAGATCAGGACTGGGACACCCCGCTTAGAGACGATGGGTCATCTCTGGAGAGTGACCTGTACCTCCCTCGGAGCCCCTCCCCATCCCTAAGTCCTCTAAGGTCCTCATCCCTTTCTGTCCTCTGAGGGGATCTGGCCACATGGGAGGTGGGGGCAGTGGCCGTGAGCTTGCCAGGTCCCCCCATCCCTCTACCTCCACACTCTGCAGCAACCCCGCCCGCTCCTTGCTCCACTGGCTTTTTTCCTCCTTCAAGTGCAGGCTGAGCTCAGCCAGCCTGCCATTGACTCCAGCCACTTCCAGACGGCTGCGGTGGAGCTCGGCCATGGTGCGGTCCCTGGCTCCCGCTGCGCTGGCAAGCTCCTCCCCGAGAAGGGCGGCTTTCTGCTGGCTTGAGGCTGCAAGCTCCTGGGCTCCTCGAAGCTGCTCCCTCAGGGGCTCCAGCTCAGCCTCAGAAGACAGGAGGAGATGGAGTTAGGGCTCCCAGTGAGTCACTCGTGAACCAGGCTCCCTGCTACCCACCACTGCATCAGGACTCAAGATTTGCACTGCTCGATCTTTAGCCTTGTCTTTTCCCCACTTTTCTATAGTGAGCCCTTGGAACTTTCTCTACTTCCTGTTGCCTAGGGGCTTCACTTACCACACGCTGCTGGGCCTGGCCTAGGGTGTCCTTCATCTGGGCCACCTTGTCCTTCAGTCGCTGGGCCTGAGCACCCTGTTCCTCCTGCCGGCCCTTCGCTTCCTGCAGCTCCAAATTTAAGCGATGGTTTTCTTGTTGTGCCATTTGGAGCTCAGCCTGATGGAGGTGGAGATACGTAAGGAAAGGGGTATATGTAGTATTTGGGGTGGCTGGGGGTTGAACCACTGTGATGAGGGAGGTCATGGTTCCGCTTCCCAGATTTAACACAACCCAAGCATTCAGCTCGTCAGCCCTTGTTGGGGTCTCAGCTCAAAGCCACTCAGTCCTGAACATCCGGTCTCCGGCTCCCAACATGAGGTACCAGCATCACAGCCTGGGCAGGGTCTTACACGAATCTAGGTATCCTGTGTACCATTTCTGCTTCTCTGCTCTTCCTTTTATTTTTAAAAGATTTTATTTATTGGGGCGCCTGAGTGGCTCAGTCATTAAGCGTCTGCCTTCGGCTCAGGTCATGATCCCAGGGTCCTGGGATTGAGCCCCGCATCGGGCTCCCTGCTCGGCAGGAAGCCTGCTTCTCCCT